ATAAGGTATTTTAAAAATCCGGAGAAGGGGGAGTCGTCAAGGGAAAGCAGATCCAAGATCAGATAAGCACGCGCAAGGAATGCGACACAGCGATAGGCTTCGACGCTGTACAGCGTTAGATGAGAAGGAGCTTACCTCTCGTGCCAATGACTGGATAAGAACCACGGACGGTTGTTACACACTGACAAGCAGAGGCGTTGTGGAAGCGGAGAGGAGATGGTAGAACTAAAGTTGTCCCCGGTGCACTTTATCCGAGGTAGCACACAGAGCCAGCTTGCTATTGAGAAGATGCAAAATACCACAGGCAGCAGAGATCGAGGAGTAAGGGCATCAGGGTAGAAGTTGGGCTGTGAGATCGACCTGACTTCTCTCGAACTGACAAGTACAAGGAGTATAGGAGAGCTGAGAGGTGACGGTTGAGGTTGTGAGGCGGCGGCGACGGCGGCGTTGGGTTCGGAGGAGAGCCAGCGCCAGCACGTGAGGGACCCAGCAGAAGAATCCAGACAGAAATGCCCTAAAAATGCCCCAAAAATGCCCCGGAATTTGAGAAAACGATAGGCTGACAGCGGCGGGATGTTAATCCTAGATTCTATTTCCTGCGGATTTACACAGGTATAATTATATAATTTATAGGGGTAGCTAGTTGGTTATACTAACTACCATAAATAGAAATTTAACTCCAAATATATAACCGTCAATTCCGTCTAATTACAAAAACAGCCAATTTTTCGGGGGGGGCATACGGCGCACCCTTCGGTTAAAACCGTCCTCCGGCTGTAGTTAAAACGAGCCCCCACTAGCCCCCAATCGTCCCCATAAGATGCAGGACCGGTAGCCCCTAGAGGCGAGCACTGTTCAGCATCGAACTCACTGGCTCCAGCACACAGAACCCAGCGAGGAGGGCGGGGAATTTAAAACATTTGGGGGGCGCTTTTACTAACCTTATTTCAGCTACTTATTTGGCTTTTCCACTTGCAGCTCCTCTTCCTGTTCTCCTCCGTATTGGTAGCCCATTTATTGAACTTCTCCAATGTGGCATACCGATAAGACGACAAATGGATACCAAAGAGAAAAACCACGTGCGTTTTATCAACTCCAATCCCTCCCCTTCTTTTTTTAGGGAGTGGGATATGAGGGATCTAGAAACGGGAAGCGGTCGTGATCAAATCCAGCCGCCATCATGTTCATTCCGCACCCAAGAAACGGCTAGATTTCGCTATTCTTCTGACAGCTGGTCAGGAGTGAGCGAGGGGGAAGCCAGTCATCTTACCACTAGCCTGCTCCATCCACATTTTTTTTTAATTTTTTTCAACTTGTCTATTATTTTCTTTTTCTCTACAGAATATTCTGTACGCAGTATCCATCGACTGGGCACTGCGTGAGCCTGTATGAACTAACTAAAAACCTTAATTACTAATAACTATTTTCTCTCCAGGCTCTATTTTTTTCATCTGAATATTCAGAAGAAAAAAACTTGCTTTCTCTGTCGCGGAGTTAAATCGATGGTTGTTTTAGGAAAATCAATTCAAGAACCAGCGTCATCTTTCTAACCTTATTGCATGCAGCCTTTCCCTTTGTCCTTTCCCTCGTTTGGCTTCCAGATAAGAATAGTATGGAAATCAGGAAAATTAAAATCCTCCAGAGTCAATCTGTGGCCCGGGAGAAAGCCAGAGCCGATCAGGCACACTAGCTTTCAAGTAACAAGTCCTTTGAACCCGACTGAAAACTTCTGAAGTTATGATCAAGGCCTTTTTTTTTTCTCGCTCCACGATAAATAATAATGGAATCAACGAATGGCCAGCTGCTGTCTGTTCAGCATTTGTTTCTCTCTGTTTCTCCAGCCTTAGCTCGTGAGCCAAGCGGCACAGGGTCTCCAGTCCGCTCGAATAGTCCGCCCGCCAGCCGCCAGCAACGAGTTGACGATGGCCTCTGGAGCTTGGGCGCACGCACCGCCCTGCTGACAGGTTATGAGTTGCAAGATACGGATGAGAACTAAAACCCACTTTCCTCGGTCTGGGGAGCCAGATGAGGTCCCTGTTGTCAAAGCCGCCCGCTAGCGCTTTTTGTTGGATTTCACTTCTTTTCTCGTTTGCCTTTTTTTTTTTTTTTTTTTTTTTTGTGGTGGGGGAGAGGGGTTTTTAGAGGAGATGAACCAATATACATAAGGTCGTGAGCTGGGAAGCTTCGTGAGAGCTGCACACTTTTTATTGGGTGGCCTTTTCTGCGAGATCAAGAGGAATGAATAAAAATGGCTTCTCCGCATCCCTCCCCACATCCGGCTGGCCATTCCTCAGGAGTGGAAATGGATGGACTGGACAAAAGCGCCGTATGCAGTATCATGTTGATCAATGGCGTTATTGTTTGCTTGGCTCAGTTACATGTACATTAGTGCTGTCAGCACCATCGTGCATTCTTAGAATTCTACTTATCTCCGTTAAATGCTCCTCCTTACCTTTACCTTTTCTGGAATAAACTTACCCACTCCTGGGTGCTTAACGCTGACTGTGGAGACTCTGAAGAATAGCTTCGAATAGCTTCGAATACAGCAGATGGAGGAGGGGAGTATGCACTGTCCAGGACCTTCCCGCTGCCAGGGTTAGAATTGTATCTTTCAACAGTGCCAATCAGCCGAATGGAGCCAAACCCACCGTGCCTACGCGATATACGTTTTGGGAAAAACGACAGGATGGAGCATAATTCTTCCTGTTCAAGAATGCTTCCATGACGGTAAAAGTTTCAACACCTCCCCCCAAAATAAAGGAATGGAAAATGATGGGTTTCTTTTGAAAAGTGACAGCCGGTCCGAAGTTGGCGCTCAGATGTTCTTTACGCATATACAAGAGAGTTCTTATTTGCGGACGGTTTTACTGTGGAGATTTCGAGCTGTTCCAACCGTTTGTTGAATAATATGAAACGCTAACTATCACATTTGATTGTTCCCGTATCTTGGTCGCTAAGAGGCAATCTCTCCTCTGCTTTGTAGTTGTCAATACCGCGTATATCACATCATATTCATTTGCTACCGGAACGATAGCTCATCGATACAGGAGGCGAAACCAGAGGGTAAGGAGATAAAATGGACATATCAACTATTTTCCGTCACTCCACACTTTTATACTTTTACCAACAGCCAGGTTAATAATAGGATGATGTTGGCTGCCATTCTCGGCTCGAAAGGTACCCTGCTTGATTATCCTCTTTGGGGCAAAGATATCTTTGTCAGTACATTTACTTCCATCCCTGGACAAGGATAGGGTGCAGTGAAGAAGCCTTCCGATGGTCAAGAGATTTCCCCATTCTTCGACCTGCATAATTGACGGTGTTTAGCCTGACTTCTGTTCGTAAATTTTGCAGAGCAGATTCTGGTACATACAATGCCGCCATCCCATTCAATTACCCTACTCTCTTGAGGTGCCTTGGTCTTGCAGTTCACCAGCCATATGGATATGCCACAACGGGCAACCATCAATTCTTTCGAAGAGGTAATCCGATATTATACCTCCAGAACGCCTAGCGAAATCCAGCGCGTCTTCTGATATGGCAGATATGACGTGTATACGACCACTAACTGTCCTTGAATATGGGGAATAACAGTCTAGGAATTATTAGGCCTTTTGCAGATATCAGATATCAGAATTGGGAGCTATCAGAAAGATGGGAAAAGGCCTCCATCGTTCCCCTGTCTTGAACGTGTCTCTACACTGAATAACAGCAGCACTTGCAAGGAGCATCACAGGCATCAACTGATTGATCAATTGGACATTAAGTGGCTGCAGAATGCAACCTTGGAACAACCTCCAAAAACAAAAAGGGGCGTTGGGCGAATGACTTGTCACCCCGGATACTCGATGTATCTCCCTGTGCTCCAGACAAGGTCCCTTTGAACAGGGGGATAATCGAAAGTTCTGAAGTTTGCTATTTAAAAGCAATGGAAGGGTTCGCTATTCAGGGAGATTCGAATTTCGTTTCTACAAAGCCCATCTACGGGTCTGTTTTCCTTTAGGGATACGATTTTCGTTTCCCGATCATGGCTACCAGGGAGACATGCCGACCGCCGTAGACTGCTTGGAAAGAGTTGCACCCTTGTCGCAGGACGAGCGACTTTTTGATTGCCGCTGGCTTCGGTCAATAAATCTGCAAAATAAGCCCGAAGCTTGACTCGGAAAACGGCTATGAAAAACGCAGCAACCCCCCCAGACACCC